GTATATATATATGTATATGTATATATATATATATATATATATATATATGTATATGTATATATATATGTATATAATATGAGACCGTAGAAATGTCGTTTCCCTTTATTCTTTTTTTACGCTACGTCCGTATATGCTTCTCAGACGTGCCGGAAGTCGCGAGATTCTATCGAAGGATCGTCGGATCGGTGTATATTCCAAACAGCACACGATATCCCATGGACGTTCTGTATATCGTCTTTAGTATATCGGGACGTCCTCAGGACGTCCCTAGGAGATCTGCGCTGTCTGGATATATATTCAATGCACGTGTACGTATGTGTGTGTGTGTGTGTATGTGCGTATGTGTATGTCGAATAGGTACAAAATCGATTCGGTACAAAATCGTCCCTTCGTGTATCACTTTTTTTTCTTTTCGTAATACGGTACAACTGCGTGTCCGCAGACACGGAATCTCGGGTACACGCTTATAAAACAGAATTCCACCGTATTATCAGTAAATTTATCGCTGCGCAGATACGATCTCGGTGGATAAGAGATCCTATGTATGTATGTGTGTGTATGTTGCGTATGTGTGTGTTTACGCCGCGAAAAGAGGACCGGCGCTCGTTTTGTCGCTAATTTAACTTTTTTTTCTTTCCTTTCTTTTCGCAATTCTTACGACTACGAGGAGCGTAGAACACTTAAGAAGAGCGATCGTCGCGATTTCTCCTCCTCTTCTCTCCCCTCCCGTGAGAATTTATAAAATGCGAGAACAAGAGGTCAGACTTTGTACTTTCGTATTGCACTTTGTCGTGTATATATCTCAATGACACGTTGGAGTTCTTAAAGAGTATATATAATAATCCTACGCAGTTCGCGCGCGAGAGAGAAACCTGTTTTTGCTCTACACGTGCGACACACAGTTTTTCGCCGATGAAATAAATAGGAGCGCACAAGTCGAGAAAATAAACTACCGTCTAAGGAATCCTTTCCCCCTTCTCGTTCGAGCTCTTGCACGAGACGACGCATCGTTATTCCGACACGCGCTGTCAGGTAATTTCCACTATCGTACTTTTCCCACCTTCGATAAACCAAATTACCGATAACAATTCTAGACAATAGAGCGTGCCTCTTAGCCAAACGACACGAAAATCCAAAAGACGTCGTCCACAGATGGCGTCTTGAGGATTGGGACGCCCGGAGAGGACAGCTAAATAACGTCTCGAAAAATTGAGGGATTTCTTCTAAAGGGTGTCTAAACGACGCCTTAAAAAATCAGGACGTCTAAAAGGTGTCTAAACGGCGTCTGAAAAATTCGGTACGCCTAAAAGATGCCTAAATCTCGAGAATCTCTCGATCACGCCCGGAGATGTGTTCGCGCGACGTCTCGAAAGATTGAGAGAGAGATGTCTAAAAGATGTCTAAACAGATGCCTCCGGAATCTGGGACGCACCAAGGACGTCTGACGAATTTTTAACGCTTGAACGAGGTCCTCACAACATGTCTCTCTTAGACATACGCGAGCAGAAGACATTTGTGAAGTCTGGGTAGTTCGTAGTACGAAACGTTGCTGGTATGCGGATGGATTACTTTTACAGCGGCCGCGAGTATTAATAGAATGTTCGGAAATTTCGATATCGTTATACGGACTATCGCCGATTACACACAGGTACTATTTCCCTGCTTGCGGGAACCCGCGCTAAAGTTGCCGGAAATATATATATATATATATATATATGACATATAATATGTCGCGGAGCAAAGTTCTCTCCTTTATGCTAAACACGCCTCAACATCTCTCCGCATCGTCCGTTTATTATGTTATCGCATAAACGAAACGATGCTGATTTGCTCTATACGCCTTATCGTCTATTTAATAGTTTATTTTCTGCGGCGTGCGTGTAAGTGGCGTGTGTGTGTGTGTGTGTGTGTGTGTGGATAGATAGATAGAGATAGATGTGTGTGTGTATATGCGTATGCGTGCACGTTATAGATATTGTTCGTATCGCGAGAGTGGTATTGCTCGTTCCCGTTCGCCTTTACGACTTTCGTGTTTTCGTACTAAGTTAAGAATAGAACAACGCCCGCACGCGCGCGCACCCGCGCGACATCGCGGTACGTATGTTACACCCGGTGATAACGGCACCGCTGATAAGACACGCGTCGCTGGGAATTGACGAAAATACGCGAGCAATTTTCGGTCGGTGGCGAGTCGAGACGACGACGACGAGGAATTTCGTAACTAATTCGCCGCCGAACATCACACGCGCGGGACTCGAGAGCGTATAGCGCACACGCATGCACACGTGTAGGTCATATCAGCTAGCACTTACACACACACAAATCATATTTCGAAAGTCAGACTAAACATATGTATATATAACAACGGAGATAATATTTCGCGAAACGCACGATGAAAAAGTCACTTCCGACGTCTGCGCTGCGAAGCGCTTAACATAAGCGAGCATCGGCATCTTGTTTCGACGCACAGTGTCATGATTATACTCGTAAGCGCGACGCAATCTCGAATATCGTACACATCGTCGCGACTTCAAAAGTAATACATTTGCTCCTTTCTGTTTCATCCCGCTTGCAATTAAATCAGGCATCGTATGTACTCTCCATTTTTATTTGCGATATATTTCTTTCATTCGAAATTAAAATACATCTCTCGCTCTCTCACCACACACACACACACACACACACACACACACACTCTCTCTCTCTCTCTCTCTCTCTCTCTCTCTCTCTTTTCCACCCGAGAAATCAAGATACATCCTAAGTCATGGCAGTTACAATGATTCGTCGAAATCGTTTTATTATACAGACTTCAAATGTGTATTCTCAAAAAACCGAGCTGTATGCAATTATAAGTATTATACGAAGTATCTTTATACGTTACGTCCTAGATAACTCTACGATAAACTGCGTTTGTATGTGTGTGTACGTGTTTCTCGCGTGTTTATGAAAAACATAGATTATTACATTCTTTATCTTAGGTGGGATGCTTAGATTATTGTAATATTACAATGTAACGGTATGCGTGTCTTATGTATATTGACCGAATGTTACATAGGGCATTATATATGTGTAATATAATGTCATATATATATGTATTGTATAATGCCCTACGTAATGTATAAATATATATATATTTATATTTATATGTGTATGTGTAATGAAGGTATCTATATTCTATATCGTCGATTATTTCATACATCATCAGGTTCTTCTTTACATTAACAGATTGCTTTGAAAATTCAACATTCGTTTTACAGACACACCATCGTCAGAATTGAGAAAGCCGCGTTGAACTTCTCTCTCTCTCTCTCTCTCTCTCTCTCTCTCTCTCTCTCTCTTTCTATCTCGTGAGCTTGAAAATGTCAAATTTCTCGCTGCATTCTCCCCCTTTTCTCATTATGACGCGATGCAAGAAAATTACTGGCACTGTTGCTATGCTAAAAAACAAAAAGATAAGAACAAGAAGTAAAAAAAAAGAGCAGGAAAGAAAAGATAAACGTACGTAGGTACGACAAGAGATCTTTCGAAGCAGTCTCGACACGTGTATATATGCGTATATATTTTCGCGATACACACAATCGTGTGCATTTAATAAACATGTTTTGCTACACAATGGAAATATAATGCAAGTGTACACAATTTACGTTGTTAATGGCTATTATATGCCTGACAAGCAGATATGAATAGATGCGCGTTGTCCATTATACAATCCCGACGTCAGTCTCTTCGTATCTTGCGCCTTGGCCACACGTAATACAAATATCTCAAGAAAGATTTTTGCAGTCAGTCGGTATAAAAACAAGATTACATCCTTACAAATACACTCGCGTAACGTATAGCGTGCCTCAACTGGAGATTGTACTACACATCCTGTCACTGGGAACTCCTCGCCTCACACGCGTATCTCTCGTGTAAAAATATTCAAGCGACGAAACAAAAGCGCAGCGCAACGGCGGCGGAAAAGAAAATAAAAAAATAAGAAAAGGGAATAAAAGGCATACGTTTCCATCGCGCATCATTATCGATTTGCGTATCGTAAATGAATGACAAGAGTCCGTAATAAAAAGTTACTTCTTGCGTATATGTCTGGTATATATGTATTTTTTTCTGTATCTACATCCTCTTTTACACGTGCATATAATATCTGCTGTTTGTTCATGCTTCAATATATATATATATATATATATATATATATATATATATATATTTATATTTATTTATTTATTTATCTATACTTCGTATGAATATATTAAAAAAAATCTATTTCCCTTTATTGTGGCGTGTGTAGTATAATATATAATTTGATACACAGACAATTCATTATGGAGTATTCTCATGCAGGAAAAATGATCTTGAAGCTTTTCCGTATCGTCAGTCCCAACAATCGACTCAAATTCGCATAAAAATAAAAATCCGCAATAAAAAAAATAATTATATTCAACATATAATTTAACACTCGGTCTCTGCTAAAATTCGAGACATATTCAGAGATTATGGACAGTGCTGATAGGGTCTTCCTTTTTTTTTCTCTCTCTCTCTCTCTTTCTCTTCAATTTTACGCACTCTTTCTTTAGATGATTCTTCGACGTTGACAAATATGAAAGCGCTATCAGCACAGACATATAATTCTCTGCATATATATATTTCTTCCTTTCTCTCTCTCTCTCTCTCTCTCTCTCTCTCTCTCTCTCTCTCTTTCTTTTTCTCACAGTAGGACCATTCATATATTAAATACAACTAAAATGATATGTACCAACAATACTATACAAAATAAATATAAATATATATCTATATGCATATATTAAAGATGTAAGAGTTGCCCAGTTGCGAATCTTTAGTTAAAAGCATTACATATATTAATAACAAAAAAAAAACATCGTAGTCTCAACAAGAATTATATACAGTACGTGTCCACACGTACGTGCCATTTCGCTTTTATCCGCTATGCTGCAAAGAGCACATATATTTTTTTGGAAAAAATTTAATTTTTCGGGGAAAAAGGGGAAAAAAAACAACATGACTATATACGAATGTCGACGATCTGTTCGGATCGTCATTCTCTTATGTCATCAATAAATTAAACAATTTGACGCGGTCACGACATCGCGTTGATAATTCGAAAGGCGAGAACAGTTGAACTCATGTTCCTATCAACGATTATTCGAATTATGGTCCTACTGTATACGTATATATATATATATGGGTATATATATATATATATAATCACCAAGTAATTTTGGCGTGTACGCGATTTCTTTCCCACTTCATTGACGTCGTTAGGCTTAGACCGAGCTTTTTTTCGTCGAATAAAAAAAGCAGATCCCGTTAATATACGCATTGTACAAGATACGTAACGTAACGGCGCGATTCGGAACGCGTATAACGTTCTGGGCGTTACAATTGTAGTACGAGCTGCTGGAACACACCTAGGTATACGCTTTTACAGCGTACCTAGAGAATATAACAATATAGCATCTAGATTTTTGTACTTCAGCATTATTTCGTCATGATAGTGGTAATTAATTATAAACATACATACCTATGATGCCACAGTATATTTACATTATGCGATCATGACTACAAGACATGAATGGAAAGCAATCTCATTCATTCATTCACTCGCTCTCACACACATTACATACACACACTACATTTACTCATTCGCAGCCACACACACACTCTCTCTCTCTCTCTCTCTTCCCTATTCATTTGCTGATTTTCTTTCTTCAGCGCAACGGGGATCAAAATTATGATCGTAAAAATCTTGCTTACATCTCGCGTATATTTAATATACGTGAAATGTATATATATCCGTTTATAATACCCATTAAATGTAATCGTTATTGGCGCGGTATATCCCTTAAAATCTATTCCCCTGTTTCAATATAATACAATCTCTATGTATCACTCTCACTCACTCTCTCTCACACACTCAGATATATATGTACAATATCTATATCGGCCGATTTTCATCGACAAAATCGACTGATACAAGCATACCTGACGTGACTATCCAACTCGTGGCACATCGGTTTACCACGTCTCCCATCGGGAGTATCACCCTTCTTCTAATCCGCTAATGTCACCGACGAGACTGGGAGACTTCGACAGGACAACACACGGTTCGTTCCCGCGACCGTCCAACCTACCCAAATCGACAACCCGAAATTCATTTGCCGAGCGACCCGGGGCGGATCTCTTTCTCGTTATCCGCTACGACGAAATGCAAACAGGAAGTGGACATACCACGCGTAGTTGACAGAAGAGACCGTCGTCTTGGAGCGTGGAAGGCGAGTTATCTACGCTGACAACGGCCGACAACGGTCGGCTTGAATTTCGCGATGGGAGCACGAGGCGCGCGCACGCGAAGACCCTACTTAGCTCGATGTTTTCTTTCTTTTTTTTTTTGAGTTGGACAGCACGTGGACTTATCATAAAAATTCCGAATTAATTGCGATAACGTTTAAAGGCTCGTCGCGTATCACATAAACCTAAACAAGTTTTTCGTTTCGTTTAGAATCGTAATGTCGTTACACGGGGTGAGGCACTCAAGACGACCACCTCGAGGCGTTTGTAAACTGCGCGTCGCACGAGGAATCGTGCGAGAACCAATACGGTTTCCGCGAGCAGTTACCGGAAGTGCAGCGCTCGATCGTCGTCTCCTTATCATCTCGTTTTTGTATTCGCGAATTTTATTACAGCGAAATTTAGTTGAAATTTAGTTTGAAGATTTTTGGCGCATTATCATGCATTTCTGATACATGCTTGTACCCCTCTCCCCAAACGTGACAAACAGTTCACAGTTACGTGCTCTGTTTTTACCGCAGGCGCCATAAACGATAATCACCATCTTTTTAGCATCACTGAATTCTATCTATAGCCCGAACGATAGTCACGTATAACGTGATCTATGTTTTCAATATTAATCCACAGAAATCAGACGATCGTAATAATCAAAGTGTAATTGTGTTGGCGACCAGATAAAGACCCTTATCCCGCGCACGTCACTCGAGTGATATCGTATCTCCAGCCGACGCGACTCTTTCATTAATATCTGGTTAACCGTGAAGTTTAGAACAAATCATGTATAACGCGCCGTTCTACTACGGAATTTTTTATTATTCCCTCATATGCGCAGTGCATAATTTTCCTATTATCCGAATAAAAACTCGCACGATCTCAGGGCATCGTTTAACCTTCCGTTACTCGTAAACATCTGACATATACCATCCTAATGTTCGTCAATTTGTTCTTCGTTATTTTTCCTGTATTTTAGTGTCTGGTTTATTAGCCAAGTGCTAATGAAAGAAAGATTGCTTCAAGAAGCAGAGGAAGATAACGGGAAGATTACTGGCCGGTATTCCTAGTCAGATCTTGTATTTAAGGCCGTGTCTCAAGTTCATCTTCAGATGCTTCGTAGCCAGTGAAAACGAGCCGTGCAGCATCTGAAGGTGAACTCAATACGTCTTAAACATAAGTCTTAAACATAAGATCCGACTATGAGAATACCGGCCTGTGAGATACATAGGGTGAAGCACTTATGGGTGAAGAATATTGCGATTAACGGAGGATTAAACAAGCAGATTGAGAAAGAAAACGATTCAACGAACAACGCGTGAATTCACGAGACGAGCACCGAGCAAGTTGCACACACCTTCGCAACTTTTCACACGACGCGCAAATTTCTGGAGTCGTCGTGAAACGGTCGAATAATCGCGGTCGTTTTAAGTGCCGCGTCCCGTAACATACCTAACGTACTAAATTCAGTGCACGTTTATTCGGCCGACAGAGATGAGCGTAGTACTCGCGGTAGTCGCTGCTAAGGGCGGCGATTGCTGAGCGTTAAATAACTTGCGCGTATCCTAATCACTGTTCCGACTCGTTGTTAGCCGTCAGAACGGCGGGCTCGGACTCCTTAATGTTTGATGGTAAACTCGCGTCGGCCTCCTCACTGCCCTCGGTGCTGTCGGCCGCGGCGCCGGCGCGCGCCGTCGTCGCGTCTTCCTTCGGCTCGTCGGCGTTCTGGAGCAGCTGCTGCTTCTGCTGCAACTGGCCGCGCAGCCTCGATATTTCGCGCGCGTCCGAGCGTCGATGGCGGCGCAGCTGGGCGTTCTCCAGGACGACGCGACGCGCCAGCTCCAGCACGTCCTGCGGCACGTCCAACGCCATCAGCCGTTCCTCGAGGTCCGCCGCCGCGTTGTTGACGTCCGAGTCGGAGTCGCTCTCGGGAGACGAGGTGCCGACCTCGCCCGCGCCCGGCGGAGGCTCGACGTTCACCGTGGACGACGTCACCGCCGCGCTGCTCTCCTCCTCCTCGCCCTCCTTTTCTTCCTTCTTGTCCTTCGCCGCGGTCGGTGGGTCCTTCTGATCGTCCTCCGACATGTAGTACAGGGGGTAGGAACCGCCGACGACGGCGGCAGTGGCGGTCGCTTGATCCGGCGACGTCTTCTCCAACTTGACATTGGCGGACAGTAGCTCCTGCTTCTCGTCCGGACTCGAGGAGCGGTGACCGTGACGGCGCTGGTGCTCGTGATGGTGCCGTCGCTGCTGCTGGTGAACGGCGGCCGACGGCGATATCTGGGCCATCGTGGGCGCCGGTATGGGCGCCAGCGCCACGTTAGGCTGGAAGTGCGGCTCGAAGCGTTCGCACTCCGACAACGGGATGACTCGCTCGGGATGCTGCAGCACCGGCGGCCCTCGGCTGAGGTATGCAGGCACCAACGATGAGCTGAATGGAGGAAGACTCGAGTTAGGGGAGCGCGTTAAAGCAGCCGGCGTAGACGCAAAAAGTCGCTCGCTACTCACTTGTCCCTGTGCTTGCAATTGCCGGTAGCACTCCAAGGGCGAAAGGCGGACGCGCCCCGAGTGGCGAGCTCGAAGACCGCCCAATGCATCTGCAGGTACGGGTCGGCCGCGCTGGCCATTTGGGAGACCGGATGATACATCCCCAGTCCGTTGCCATTGTAGATCCCGGAACACTCGTCCTTCTTCGTGCGTTTCGCCAATTTCTCGTGCTCGTGTCGCAGCTGAAAACAGACGCTCGCGCTCACACGCACGCACACCACTTCCCGGGCGCATTCGCGGCGTCAGGTATTATCTCAAGTCGAGTGCGCCGTCGGGACTCGGAAATATTAGCATGATCTTATCTTAGAGTAAACTCTCTCGCAAACATAAGTGTGTATACCTTCAGTTTTCGCTTGGGGTTTAACGCGAGAGTGCCCTCCTTGAGTTCGCGAAAAAGGATGAGCGACTTGTAGTAGTGCTGTTGATCGCGCGACAGTAACAAGTACGAGCGCCAGTTGGCCGAGTCGAAGCCCCAGTGGCAGGTGCGGTTCTCCAGGGAACGGTGAGCGTGCCTGACGAAGCGCTGGGGCGAGAACGAGTAACCGCACTCCAGACACTCGATGCACACCGAGTCGTCCGTCTCGAACAGGTCCGCGTCGAAGATGCCCTTACACTTGCCGAAGCACTCGTGGTACACTTTGAATTTAACGATAGGTTCCTCGTCGTCCTCACTCTTGCCGCACGCCTTCTTGTCGAGGCCCTCCTGGGTCTGGGCGATCTGCGACGGATCGCAGGGTTCTGTCCGTGAGAGCAAAGCACTAACGAGCCTCTCCGCGTCGGTCTGGGTGATGAGGCCGCAGGATGGTGCGTTGCGCGGCAGGATGCCGGACTGCTTCAGCTCCTCCAGCTGGTCCCTGGTGCATCGCGAGCAGTAGATCTGCAGCTCGTCGCACACCTGGTTGATCTGCTGCAGCGAGAAGTCCTGCAGCACCGTGTTGAGTATCTGCGGCAAACATAACCTCCTCTCGCCGCCCACCTCGAAGCAGGAGATCCTCTCGCCCTCCAGCAGGGTCTCGCTCCTCTCGGAGCAGCTCTGGTCGGGGGCGGTGAGTATCGGCCGTTGGAACTCGTGCTCGCGCTTCTCGCCCTTCGGACGGTCCACCGGGTTCGCCGGGAAGTCCTCGTCCGAGTCGGTCAACGGCTGGCGCGCCTTCACGGCCGTCGTCGGCGAGGTCTCGCGGTCCTTCTCGATCGCGACGTCCTTCGCGCTCGGCTCCGACGGCGGCGAGTCCAAGCCGCAGTTCGCCGCCGGACGGCTGGCGGCCGGTGAGAAGCACGATGTCGCCGACTGTTCTTGCAGCAGGCCCTTACAGTCCATGCCCAGGAGGGCCGAGTTGGGACCCTGCAGGCTCTTCACCGCCGACAGCTGATAGGTCTTCAACACCGTCTTCAACTGCGGACTGTACGACTGACTGGTGGTAGTGGTGTTGCCGGGCAATAGTGTCTCCATTATTCCCGCGTGCGTGCCCTCCGCGAGTGTCCGCCGCGCGCGCGGACGAGTGAGCCGGGGGAAGAGTATCAAAAAGCGTACGGACCACCGCTGGCACCGCTCGACTGCTAAACCGTATGTTCTCTCGCGAACGACCGACCGACGCGAGTCTCGTATATCGCGTTACACGATTCGATATCGTATTATCTTTCAAACTGTCAACCGAGCGAGTTCCTTTATTTATGTCGCGGACACCGAAGTAGCGCAGCGGGGGGATATCCACTAGAACAACAACTGGCACGCTTCGCGATCCCACTTCCACGACACTCGGGCCCAGCATCTTGTCACAGTCTTCTTCGTCTTCATCGTAGCGCGGGCTCCACGTTCCTCGCTCGCGAATCGACGCGCCGAGTCCACAGACATGCCCATCTCTCTCTCTCTCTCTCTCGCCGAGCGGGGTTTCTAACCCGCGCGCTAAGAGACCCTCCTCGCTCGCTCTCTCCCTCGCTCCTCCTCACTGTCTCTCTTCCTCTCTCTCTCTCTCTCCGTCGCACGTTCGCTCGCTCCGCTCCCGTCCAGCACGAGAGACCGAGTTATACACGCTATAACCCGTTCGTCGCGTCCTTCCTTCCTCCCTACGTTCGCCCCTCCCGCCGTTGCTGCATTATTCGCCGCCGAGGAAGACAACGATGCTACTACCAGCGCGAGCCGCGATCCGTCGCGACGCCACTTCCACGTACATGATAAAGCCGTTCGTTGTCTCCTTCTCTCTCTCTCTCCCTCCCCTCTCTGTCTTTCTCTTTGTCCGTGTCCCTCACTCTCCCTCTCTCGCGCTTTCGCGGCAGAGAAGCGCGTTACGCGGAGATCGCACGCAGAAGCGCCGTCCTCCGTTAGCTTCGGACGAGAGAGCCTCCTCCTCGCGAGTTCCCTCCGTCGTGGACTCCCTCCTTCCTCTCTGCTGCTCCTCTTCTTCCCACCACCGCCACCTCCTCCTCCGCCTCCTCCTTCTTCGCCACCTCCTCCTCCTACGGCGGCGACGGCGGTTTTCAACGCGACGTCCTCGTAGCCGCGAATTCGATGCGCGACGAAAGCGACTCGGGTCGCACGGTCACGGATACGGGCCGACGATCCATAGCGGGCTGAGCCGTATATCTGCCTTATCGAACGCAATCGACGACAGCCACGGCGAAATGACACATGTCTCCTTCGACCGCCACTCGTTCGTTTACCTATTTATCGTTCGCAATCATCGCACGACACACACGCGCGCGCTTCTATCTATCATACCTATCTCCTTTCTTCTTCTCTCTATCCGTCACTTCATCACAGCGCACTGTCGCGGACGGTACATGTTATCGTCAACGTGCCCGTCGTCGACGTCTGCCAGCACTACTACGAACGTCGTCCTCGCCGTCCTGCTCGTCGTCGCTCGTGGCGTCGCCGACGATCGGTATCGCGCGCCACCGTTTCGCGCGCGCGCGCGCGCGTCAACCAACAACAACAACAACAACGAGAGAATGTCGTCGGTACGATACGTCCGGCGTATATTATCGCATGCACTGCAGCGCGACCACCACCACGAGCATCGTCAAACGAACGATTTACTCGTCGGCACGTCGCGACGCAATGGCGTATCGATCGCGGCGGCGGTGGCGGCGACAGCGGTGGCGACAGCGGCGGCAGCGGAGCACGTACCGAGCGACGACCGTGGACGGAACGACAGCGGCGGCGGCGACAACAACAACAACAACGAGCAGGAGACACTCGCGGGAGCACGCATATTTTTCACAGCGTCGCGAGAAGAGCCGATGGCGATTCCTGGCGACGTGGAAGCGAATGGACCATCTAGCGCGACGCACGCACGGGGCTGGTGCGAATTTCTCTCTCTCTCTCTCTCTCTCTCACACACACATACACACACTCTCTCTCTCTTTCTCTCCCCCGACGTGTGCACAGACGCTAACGAGACAACGGCAGACCTCCGTGAGATATATACGTACGTTTTCACGCGCGCGCTTCTCCTGGCGCGCCGTGTTCGTGACGACGGCCGTCGTAGATGTTTGTTCTGTCTCTGGTTTCTGTCTGTCTCCGTCCCACTCACGTTCGCGCGCTCTACGCGGTCTTTTTGCACTCGGAGGGCTCTCGCGGAGGGGCGCTCCTTTTTCTCGCTCTTTTGTTCGTTTTCTCTCTTTCTCCTTCCTCTCTCTCTCTCTCTCTCCTCGTAGAAGTGTTATCCGCACAAGTTACGTACACATATACATGCGCGCGCGCGCGCGTACGATCGCGTAAACACGAAACGAGAGTCAGAGATAGACGGTGGAGCCCTTGAAGAGAGGGAGACTGGTTTCGCTCGTGCGCTTTCCGTGTCTCTCTCTCTCTCTCTCTTACACGCTTCGCTGCGTGTGTGTATGTGAGCGCGCGCGCGCTTTTCGCGCGATTACGCCGCGCGCGCGGCCGCGTACACGTGCACGCGCTGCGCTCTTATGTTGGTGCCCAGTCGGCCGTATATACAGGGTACTGAAGAAAAATGACCATACTATTACTACTACTACATAGCACGACACATCTCTCGATGATGTTCTCTGAAAATTTGATCGTCCCTTTTATTTGTAACCTAGGGTGTCTTAACAATTGAGCATACAGAGCGAAGAGAGCTGTTCACGTCGAAGCTACGTAAAATTACAAAAGATATCGAACATTTGCATTATCTATTCACACCTGGACGGGTCATCCCACCGACGGTGGCTCAATGTCCTTCGCTACAAAAACTCTCTCTTGGATTTTTCTTTTTTTTCTTCTTTTCACATCTTACCGTCTCTCCGAGGACTATGCTTAACTTCTCAACACCCTATATGTGCGTGCGTGCGTCGAGCACTGCGCGATGTGCATAATGCGCGCGAAGTGTTCTGCACGCCTGCCTCGGTGTGCGTGCACGCGACGAGACACGCGCGCGCCTTCGCCGTTCGCATATACGCGCTCACGTCCGCTCGGTAGTAAAGAATCACCGTAAACTCCGCATGCCTGTCTCGTTCCCCTCTACGAGCATCGCGGCCGCGGCGGCTGCGACTCCCTTCACTCCCCTTCGGCGACACAACCGGCCACCTACTGCGCACTGCCGCGCCTGTCGCGGACAGTGCCGGATCAAGATGCGACCTAGAGCGCCGGGACTGAATCAAAGAAAAGTGTCCCGTCGCCGCGACACTGCAATCTTTTCAATCGATAGGCTACATTCAGGTCTCGCGGGGAATCTCGGCAACCGCTCGCAACCTTAGCTTCTACGTTTACTTCGCTTTTATAACGATACCGATCGTTCGGGGATTTCGCATTCGTAAGGAAGGCTGGGGAAAAAATATGCTCGGGGCATCGAGATACCTTGACACAATCCTGCTCTCGCGGACTTCTCTCTGTCTCAACTTTACCCGGACCTGACAGGACCGTACGGTACAGGGCAGCGAGGAGAAGCGGTGCTTCTGGTCCAGCGAAGGCGCCCTGATGAAACGCTCGATACGCCTTTATTGCATTATTCCGAGACGAGAGAGAGAGAGAGAGCGGGCTATCACGAGGAAAGTGACTTTTACCTCTTTACAGAGAATACGTGCGAATTTTATTTGCAGGTTCAAAAATCCCTTCTTTTCACGTTCTTGCGACCCCTCGGATTCTCCATTCTCGAGGGAGAGCAGGTGTGTGCGCGCTCGCTCGCTCGTGTACGTACACGCACGCGTGCGTGCGGAGCGGCGAACGAGCGAGCGATGCTCGCGCTTAGCTCTCGGTTACGACGCGCGCGGTCGGCGGCACGCGTCTGTGTGAATCGGACACTGTCGACGCCGCCGGCAGCCGAGCGTCTAGTCATGTGACCTTCCCGTCAAAATAGCCTGCCTACTTCCCCGCGCGCGCGCCCTACGCACACACTCGCGCCGAGCGGCGCGCCGCACACGTACACGCGCGAGACGGGATCGCGGAGGTGCGGCTGCGGTGTGCACGCGTGCTATCGTTGCCATCTTGTGTTCATTGTCAGGGCCGGCGCAAAATATCGTAGTAAAGCTCTAGCCGATGACGATTCGTTCCTCTCGCTCTCCCCTCTTACCCCCCCCCCTCTCCCCGCTTCTGTGGAACTCGAAACTGGACAATCGATCGCTGTAAGTTTCGTGAAAGTACTCCGAGAAGTCGCCTTCGGACTCCGGCGAGAGAATGACGCGAACATGTTGTTATCTGCACAAATGATATCTATTACAAGCTAATAGTTTGGATGTGATGGTACATATATGTACAAAAGATATAACAAATATGAATATTCCTTTATTTTTACTGTTCATCTCGCGGGTTCTTGAAGAATTGTAGAATGACGTAAAGTATTTACAAGAGGAGTAATTATTAAACAATGGACAGTAAGAATATATTTAAGAAAAGTAAGAACGAGTTATAGTCGATTATTCTCTTTATATTCGATTATGATTGGTCAATTTCTTATTCTTATTTCTTATAAATATACACCTACTTTTCACTGTAGACTACGCTTAAGAGCCGACTACAATAACTGTAAAATATGCAATGTGATGTAAACTAATTGACCAACCACAGTCGATTATTGTTAGACTGAGAATCAATTAATTGTCTTACTGCATACTTTACGGCTATTGCAGACGGACTTTTACATATCTAGATGTATTCAGTTGCGAGATCAAAATGAAACTTGCTTATTCGCTTATACTTCTGGTGTAAAATAAAAAATTTGTTTATTATATATATATATATATATATTATACATATTGAAATTTATTTCTGTCCTATTCTATCTCATTTGTCCCTTTTTGTTATCTTGCTGCTTTTTTTCCTCTTCTTCTGCGTCTTCTTGTGTTTCTGTTCTTTCGATTTCGACTTCTTTACCTTTTCCTTATTTTTCTTCTTCTTTTTCGTCACGACTTCATCCTCCGACGATGATGAGGAATCGCTTTCCGTGGAGCTGGACGAGCTGGAGCTGGAACTGGACGACGAACTGGACTCGTCCGAGCTCGAGAGTTCTTCCTCTTCCTCTTCCTCCTCCTCCTCTTCCTTGTTGATTATCACCGGCACAGCGATCGGTTTCGGATGGGACTTGAGATGTTCTCTCAAGTCGTCTGTCAGACCGCCCAGTCCGATGGAGGTAAAGAAGTTGATGGCGAAACGTGTGTTCTTCGGATCATCTCTGGGAAACAGTCCTTCGAACACCTCATGCAACGTCACGTCCTTGACCCGTTGATTCAGCTTGGAAAGACCCATGTTCTCGGAGAGCTCCTGGAACAAGATCTTGATGAATATCCGGCTGGAGCTCGTGGTGTCCTCCTCGTTCAGTTTGATGCACGAGAGAACGCTCCACGATATGGAGTCCGTGAAGAGCAAGTGAGCGAAGAACTTGGACACGTTCCTCAGTTTGTTGGTGTCGAGACGGTGTATCGTGTGATAAGAGTCTTTGAAGATCTGCTCGAACGGCGTGACGTATATCTTGTTGATGGCGCAGAATCGGCCGGCCAACAGCCCGAAGAACTTCTCGTACGTGCGCATCTCCGCGCAGCAGTCCAGGAACATGTGGCATAGCTCGATCTCCTGGCCGGGTTTCAGCTGCATCTTCATCAGCTTGTGCGCGCACTCCTCGAAGTCGAGGGAGGAGTGTATGGTCAGGTATATCGTGCGCCGAAGAGCGGTTAGATTCGTCTCCGTGTTGTCGAGTATCACACCTTCCTTACCCTCGGTTGGCTCGGCGCCGCTGTCCTCGTCCGAACTCGCGTCCTCTCCGTCCTCCTCCTCGCCCTCCGAGTCACTGACGTCCGAGCCAAGGATCTCTTTGCTCAGCTGCTTGTACTTGTCCTCGTTGGCGAGGTATTCCGCGTCAAACTTGAACACGTTCAGTATGTCCTGCGCATCCGTCACCTCGTCCAATGTGATCAGGTGGGTGAACTGGCTCTCCTCCTCCACGAGATCCAGTTCCTCCGGCACGGCCTCGTGATCCTTGAACCCGTCCTTCCTGATTTGGAACATGACTTCGATCATGTACTGGACGCGCTTGTCCAGCTGTCCCTCGTGCAGTATGTTCCTCAGCATCTCGAAGATGGCCTCGATGCCTTTGCGAGATACCTCAGTCAGTTTCATGCCGCACTCCTTCAAGAACGCTATGGCTACTTCGACGGAGTCGTCCGTCGGCGTTTCCACCAGCAAAGTCAGGATCTCCAGTGCAAGGATTTCATGCGCCACACGTTGATTGACCAGGTGCGCTATGAACGTGCCCGAGGATATACACAGTGGCTTGTCGTTCCTCCGAAAACCTCGCTTGAATTGCAACACCAGACGCTTCAGCACCAGCTCCCCTATGTTGGGGAACTTGGAATTGATTATTGCTGTTAGCGCTGCGTAGACTGGTGTGAAGGTGGGTGAGGCTGCCTGTGCCTGAATGATGCTGCGGGCCAATAAGCCTCTGCCACGAATGATGTTCTCTTGCAACAACTCCCTCGTTATGATTCCTATGTTGCTGGTGTTGATTTTATTGATGAAGCCATGGATGGACTTCTTCAGTGCTTCCCACGCGATACGCTGATAAGCGGCTCCCGACTTGTCGGTGATCTCCGCCTGGAGCATACGCAGCTTGGCAGGCGGTATATACGCGCCTCCTGTCTTGGACGTCAGGAGATCCACCGTTCGCTTCTGCCTGCTTTCCTCCGGATTCTCCTGCGGCTCCCCGTAATACCTACTCCCGATCTCTTCCTTCTCCTTCTCCTCGGAATTCCGTTTCCCGTGCCTCTCATCGTCACTGTACGCGGGATCCCGGTGGTCGTCGTTGTACCTGCGATTCTCCTTGTGATCGTCACCGTACCGGCGATCTTTGCGATCGTCGCGTCTGGAATTTCGATGACTGTCCTCGTCGCGTCGGGAAGCCCGGTGATCATCGTCGCGTCTGGAACTCCTGTGCTCGTCGTTACGTCTGGAACTTTTGTAACCGTCGTGCCTCCGGTGATCACCGTTGCGCTTGGACTCCCTGCTCCGTTCGCCGCTGCGCTCGCGATCCTTCCTCTTGTGATGCCGTTCTTCGTCCTCATCTCTCTTCGAATGTGATCTTTTCATCTTGTTTTCGTATAATCTCACTCAAACACGACGATCGTAGCACCGATTATCGCTGCCTCGTGTCTATTCGCATTTATATACAAAGGTTCGCGACGCGACGCACTCGCAAACGCCATGCTGGTCTAGCGGCAAGTTTGCAAACTAAGGAGTTTTGTGGAATTTCTGTAGCATCGACCGTACGAGAGCTTGGGTGATCCATTTGGTGGCGTACGAGCGCATGACTGGAATATGTTCTATGTTGAAATTGAATTCGATGGAGATCTCTCGTATCCCGCGAGAGATAACCTCTGAAAGCCCGAAAAGGTCTGTGTGATTGCTAAATAAACCGAGCAATATAATATAACAGAATATTAGAAAATGGCTGTGTTCTCGAGTATTTTCTCTCGCAGCGGTTACAGCGGACTGCAAGCAGCGAAAATATTGCGTATGTTATTTTAATATTGTTACACGATTAGGTTATACGTGTGTGTACCGGAACATAACTATTGATTATTTATAGTTAATATTACTAATTAATAAGTTGTCATTTATATATGTAATTTAAAGTTATTAATCATTCAAGGAAATATCGTTTTCAGACAATGCGGTCAGAAAGAGTACCTTGGTAACTGACGCAAATCCAGTGGATAAATCATTTAACAGCAAGACAGCAGAGCAGAGTTTTAAGCAAGACAAAGTTATTCCGTCGAGATATCGATTCACTTACCCGGAATTCTTACCAGATCCTAATCCAAAATTTCGCAATTCACTTAGAGAAAAATTGGAACGCATAGATATGTTGGCAAGACGGGCACACATAGATATACCAGAGTTTTATGTCGGTTCAATACTAGCTGTAACTTACTCAGAGCGACACGCTCCTGGAAAGATCAACAAATTTGTTGGAATATGCATCGAGAGACATGGTGGTGGATTGAGAGCTAAATTTCAGTTGAGGAATGTAGTTGATTCTCAAGGCCTGGAGGTGCTCTTTGAATTATATGACCCTGCTATACAGAAGATAGAATGTCTCAGGTGAGTACAAGTGGTCTTCTTAAATTTACACATTTAAAATACTCCAAGGTCTTATATTGATGTTACTATTTGTGAAATATTTAGACTTGAAAAAAGGTTGGATTCACATTTACGGTATCTTCGAGATGCACCACAAGAATACAGTACATTTCCCTTTGATATGGAACAAGAACATTTGCCAGAAGGAGCACCAGTTCCTGTAAATGAAATTAAAATAAAGCTGAATCCGTATCCGTGGTTAGAGAAATGGGAAATTCAACACTTAAAAGGTGCAGAATTGCAACTCAACGAAAGACGCAGGAAAAGGCAGGAAAAATCTAAGAAGCCTTGGGAAAAATATGACCTGATGAAAACATATAGGTAAGAAAACATACCGAAGATATAGCACATATATTTGTTTCTATATGCAACTTGCGCTAATTTGTTATCTTTCCAGGTCGACTATACCCGAGGAAGAACAAAATAAGATATTCAATGAAGTATATACAAAATTACATGAGCTGGAGATTACTAGACGTAGACAGAAACACAAACGAATTTTCATACGTCCGAAGAAAACTGTTTAAATTGACGATTATCTACTGAAATTCTTTATCCGCATAAGTCATAAAAAGAAAATAAAAAAATATATGTAACTTTTTCCTGTACAATATGTTTAATTACTCTTCTAATATGATACAATTGTAATTATTACGCAAAAGAAAGCATTTCGTAATTAAGCCAATAATTTTCTAACTAAACCAAATGTAGACAAAACAGTTACAGCTGATTTGACTTATTTGTTTTATTATCCGCATTAAATAGTAGTAATCTATACTTATGTATTATTTGCAACTTCAGATCAATAAAAATTTCTTTTTATTGGGAAGTGAAAAATATACAATAGAAATTGGAAAACTTGTTTAACCCTATATTTTTATATCATATCATTGTTTTATCCCCGACAGAGTCAGTTAATTCGTTAACCAAATACAAGAGATCAATGTAATACGTGAAATTAACTCGTAAGTAATGCTACATTAATTTCTTTAACCATTTTAATACGATACAACATTTTGATGAGTTGTTCCTTCGCGAGCGGTGATGTCGAATACCACACTGGACTGTCCGGCACACAACTGCGTTCTGGCAATAAGTAGAAGACATCGTTGCGGGTTTTAACGCTTTCAGGACTGAAATATTTCGAATGCAAAATCTTAGTGATATTATCGTACCGAAGTTGAGATAATATGACTTGAGTTGAAGATTTTTCATATTAAATAATAAAGACGGTAAAAGATCTTTAGATGATACAATTGATGTATAAAAAGGTGCGTATATACATGTATATGTGAGAGAACCTGAATCAGGTACTAATGCGTAAGCACTTTTTCGTGATTTTATTTAGGCAATCCGTCAACTTACCAATAATATAATTCAAAATTCAACGTTCGTAAATATATTTCAAATGTTTCGTATCACTTCAGGCCTTCTTTTCAATATAGCGGTAATTAATCTCAGCATTTAATTATTCTCAATATGCGTACGTACCATTTTGATAAATAGAATTCGTACAGTTTGACAGGACATCTCAATGGATCCTCTTCATTTTCCTGCTGCTCATACACCTTCTTTTTCCTCGAGTTGTTTTCTTTAAAAATAAAGTCTATAAGTGATAACACAATGTGAATCGTATTACTGATAACATAATTCTCATAAAGTGTAATTGGTAAATCGGGAAGTACCGAGGGCCGATTGTGGTGGATAAAATCTTAGGAGAACATTCCTCGGCGCTTTTCCCGTTACTGCTGTACTAGCCTGAGCTGCTGGATTGCGTTTCCAATGTTTCATAATGTGCGAAAACGAAAGTTGCATGTGTTCTTCCACTGTCTAGAAGGATGTCGATATACATGCGTTCAAAGGCTGTTTGCCAATAACATATTGTGATAATGAATTATACGATATTTATTTATTCGGTCAACTCACCACAAGATTGAAATGTTTCGTGTTGAAAAACATAAGTGTACTTAACAAAACGTGCGGGGAATGGGCACCTAATTGTTTACACTCCCACAAGTGTTCTTCCTCCACTCTGGTTACAATATATTCTGTAAAATGAACGATACGATGATTCGGGAAAACAATACGAAGGTAATACGATGTACTTACGTGCTTCGTGGTAAATCATGGAAAACTTTTTCGCGATTTCGTTTAGACAGTCTGTAAATTTCTCATAATACGAATCCGTGAATATGTTATCAATCCTATTATTTTCGAACAAATACTGTTGTATCCCTAAAGAGATTTATAAAAACTTTATAAAAGGTACTGGTTTGAGTGATATATTTACAACGAACAACGTATTTATCATTGAATGTCACATTATCATAGAAATTGACTCACCTAGACAAAGATAATATATTGTATCGGGAGCGTACTCCGCGCCGTTCGGTTTTTTTACTTCCTTTACGAAGAGACACAAAGAATAATTCAATTCGTCTGCGGTAAGTTGCAAAAGGTCCGTCTTGAATAACTTAATTTTTCTCATTGGTGTAATTTGTTTTTCTAACTCGGCATTTTTCGCTATAACCTGTGAGCAAGTTTGTTTAAATAAACGATCTATTTGCGTTGCATACAATTATACACATAGGTGAAAACAATGTTACATACCCATTGCCTCCATGCGTTTACACCGAATGTATATTTCAATGTCATGTTAGCGTCGGGCTTTTCCAATGGCTCCATGATACGTGGTTGCGGAGGTGGTTGTGGCTCCGGTGGTGGCATTAATGGTATGTCATTTGTACCAGATACTCGTCTGGCTCGTTTAGTCGACGTCGATCGCGGTTTATATGGCACCATACGTTTCCTTCCTCTGGAAGCAGTGATTAACCGTTCCGATTGTACTGAAAAAAAAAAAAAATATATATATATATATAACTTATTAAGAACAATTTTGTGTGTGTGTGTGTGTGTGTGTGTGTGTGTGTGTGTGTGTGTGATTTTCTCTCTTTCTCTCTTTCTTCTCAGTTCTCCACAGAATATTAAAAAAAAAAAAAATACGAGACATTTGCTTTTTGGTTTTAGTTTTTTTTTACTTTTTAGCGTCCGCCGTACGGGACGACAGTCGCAAAACGGTCGCTGCGGTGCGTCGTAAAATGAAATAAACTGATTTTTGATGCACTGAACATGTAGTTTATACGTCCGATGTGTGACGCGATATTCATTTGTTTCTATCGATGCTAAGCAATATATTCATAAATACATCATTTCAGTATGAAAATAAATGAGTCAAATTTACTAGGCGTATATACGCCCTTTGTAAATGAGCGTCAACTTTCTCAGGCCAGTAAATTCGGTTCAACAATTATTTTCTTATAAGTATACGTGTGAATACTATATTACGTTATATTTATATTATCTGTATATACACTTTTCGTATCTAAAAGTTTAAAGTGACCAGAAGCTAATCAATATGTATGTATACATTTTATTATTTATGCGACAGCTTGGCGCCGCATACAGCGATCGTCTTGCTTCTGAGCGGCTCGCGCGCAGTCTCTCTTTCTCGTCTCTAAGGGGATTAAACAATACATATTTAACATAGTTATATTATCTTACCATCGTTATCTATAGTAGCTACTGATTGCGACGGTGGTTGCGTAGCTGTGATCGTGTTTGGCGTGAGGGCGGCCTCTAAATCAACCGCAGGCTCATCTAATTCTCCCGTGGCCATTTTTAATGCCATTTGCAACATATCGTCGCCGAACGTGTTACTGGAATCAACCGCCTCCGGGCTGAAACCAGCACTATGTAAATTGTCTTGATCAGCTGTGTCAGCATCCCTAGACAAAAATGTGTGCTTTTGGTGCGTGAGATGAAAAGAACACAAGTTGAGATTATTGTTGCAGTGCGCGCGTTGCGACGGGGAACTTGACCGATTTATTTCTGGATTCAAGCAAACTGCGCAAACACATCGATTTTGTATTACCTGTCATCCACCGAATCCGAATCGCTGTCATTGGCCTTCTTCTCAGTAGCTACCATCTCCGCCATCATGAGGAGCTCAGCTTCGTACGGATCGGACGGTATCTTTTCTTGTATTCTCTTTATATCCTTCATGATTCCCTTAGCACTGTTCCTCGTGGTAGGTATGAAGAGTGGAATGGGAATGGGCAGTGGGAAAGGCATCGGAACTGGGAAGGGCATGCTGTACATGTGTACGGGAAACGGAACGTAGATCGGCACCGGTATGGGTATGACGACTTGTTGAGCGTTTTTCGTTTGCGTCCATTTGGTGCAAGGATGAGGACGTACCGAGACCCCTTTCGTGTGTGTGACAGGCTTGCACTGAGTCGTCTTGTTGTGCACCTTTACCGGACTGGGAGGTCTGGCGATGATTTGCTGCTTGTAGATGACCGGCGCCGTTTGATTCGGCATACCGCTCGTGGGCATGACTATACTGTTTTGCTGAGAACTGGGACTGGTCTGACCGTTTCCCATCGCCGCCAAACTCGTCACCGATGAGATTACCGGCATGGTTTTCTTCTGCATTTCGCTCGGCTTCGAAACGGATTGGCACGTGATCTTCTGCGGTATCGTCCTCTTCGGCACGCCCGTAGGCACGGGATCGTCGCCGGACGGTATGGTTATCGGGGATTTTGTATACTGAGCTTGGAAGTTCATTACGCAATTGTACGAACAAAAATTACGTATCGTCGCGTCTGACATGGTGAGGTGATAGTGCGCCAGAGAATATTCCTTGCAATAGTCACAGTTGATCCGTTTCGCGGACACTGCATTAATGGAGACCTCAAGGACGATAAAAAAATTTGTTATTTACGTTTTATTGTTTATCATCAAGCGTAATGGATATTCATACCTGATACAATGTTAAGCAATTCAAGCTGCACATCATCAAAAGCTGTCCCGTCTTCAGTTCCTTCTTGATCATATCGAAGTTGTACTTCTTTACTTTACACCAGTTACACGGAACTATCTTTCTGTTTGCTATAATAAATATATTTAAGCACGTCTTGTTGCAAAATGTGTGCGGCTCATTTTCGTAATATACGACGAAATTCTGCTTGTTCGGTAATTCGAAAAATTTCTTGCAAGTGGAACACTGCTCGGGTTTGACCTGTTTTACAAATTTAAATGCGGCGAAACAGGGCTCGCTGCATATAGCTACTGGCGAGCTATTATATATTTGGACCTCACAATGTACAATTTTTTTCTGTAAAAAAAAGAAAAAAATAGATTTTTGTTATACTTAATAACAATTTATGATATATATTTGGAAAAAGTATTAGACAATGCAAGGGAGAGAATGGCCATACCTCCTGACAAACACTGCATGGTTTCTTCGTCGTAGCCGGGGGTTCTGCGGAATTCAATTTCGAATATTTTTCCATACAGTCCTGAGTACAGAAATCTTTAAATTGCCCTTTCTCGCCGACCGGCGCGAGGAAACCGTCTGTGCTGAGGCTTATGTCCTTCTGACAGTAACTGCACACCTTCAGTCCCTTTTTAAATTCTTCTAAGCACGTTGAGCAACAGAACTGCCTTACGTCGCATCCAAATCTCACACAGTATTTACCTAAACTCACGTGTTGTACCGAACCATTGCAATTCTTACAGTAACTTCCGTATTTCCTTTGGAATTTCCCCAGACACTCCTCATTACAGAATTCCATGGTTTCCCAGGAAAGATTTCGCTCATCATTCAATTCTATAGTTGAGAAACAAGTCGAGCAACGTTTCTCTCGTTTAGACGACCCGTCATCAAGATGACTCCCACTTGGTATATCTAACGACTTATTATTGGCTGCCTTGAACAACGCTTTGCACGTTTTCGAGCATACATTGTATCTTTCCGAACCTACCTTCACTCGAATTATACACATTCTTTCCTCATTACACTGTTTACATCTCTCTTTGTAAGTAATCTCCTCTACTTCCTCCGAGCTCTTCAATTCGTCTTCGACATTAATAACATCCGTTGCTTTGGCTACTACGTTCTCTGCTGTCTCTGTATCTCTATTTTCAATGGTGGCTGCACTTTCCGTACTGCTGCTTGTATTGTCCGCATCCACTGATTTAATTTCATCTTGCGTAGTATCTTTAACAACATCAGAATCAGGCTTATTGCTCTGTGCCATTTCGTCCTTTTTAGAATCCTGTACAAGTGTAGATTCATTCCGCTCACTTTCCGTTACTTTCACCGACTTATTTGGTATTATAACTTTCATACTATCTGGAATAATACACAGTTCGTCATCTTGTCCTGGTAATACATCAGTTTGCTCTACGTCTGTTTCCATTGATGTAATCTCTTCGATATTCTTCTTTACTTGTTTATCTCGATCATCGGTTGATTTAATAGGTAATGCATTCCTCACATCTGTTTTGGATGCATCATTATTCGTTAGATCAGTTTCTAACGGTGTGTTTACAAGAGAATCAATAGTACTTTGTATATTGGTTGGTGCTTCAACAGTATTGTCCATAACTTTGTTGACAGTAGTATCCTTTGGGTCATTTGATGTATAACTAATGCCAAGCTTCTCATTACAATTGTCATTTTTGGCATTCACCACATCCTGTAAATTATTATCCTGTTCATATATGTTTTTAAAGCTAACTTCACCATCAGCAAGATTGTCAGCCTCTATTTGTTCCACATTTTCAGAAACAAGATTATCACCACCAAATGGATCTTCTGCATCTATAGATTGATTTTCGATTTGGGTGTCATCCTGTTTATCATGAGAAATTTGTACAAATTCTGTATTTTCAGGTTCCATATTCTTTTCAGATAAAGAGCAGTCTTTGTCAGGATTCTCTAAATTACTATCAGAATCAGATTCCAACTTTTTGGAAGAATCAAGCTCTTTCTGAGATATTTGTATGTCATCTGCATTAACACTGCATTCCTCTGGAATATCACAATTTTTATCTTTTTCTTGAGAAGATACTTCCAGTTGGCTTGCAGCATTATTATTGGAAGACTTGAAGCCATCATTTGCTGTATTATCTGCATCTTCATTTGAAACCTCAATATTTGACAAATGTTCTATGTCACATGCTTCTGTTAAATTTGATATATTTGATATTAACTCTGTTGTTTCTTTATCCGCATCAATTGATGTACTTTCCTTACATGAACTTTTAATTACATTACTTTCTTGAGATGTTACAATTCCAATATTTTCCTCACAAGGTGGTTTTTCAATATCAGTATTATTTTCTGCTATTGTAGTTTCTAAACAAGTTGAATGATCGTTTGTTTCCATACTTGTCATAGTTTCTAAACATATTGTATGGTCATTTGTTTCCATATTTGTAATAGTTTCTAAACATGGTGAATTATCATTTGTCTCTATATTTGTTGTGGTTTCTAAACATGTTGCATGATTATCTGTTTCCACATCTGTTGTGGTTTCAAGACATGTTACATGATCATTTGTTTCTATATTTGTCAAGGTTTCTAAACATATTGTATGATCATTTGCCTCCATATTTATTGTGGTTTCTGAACATGTTGCTTGTTCATTTGTCTCCGTACTTAATGGAATAAAATCTTTCTCAGAAGTTATTGAGATTGTTTTTTCCTGTGCTATACATAATTCATCACATATTTCTTCCGTGCTATCTTTATCAGGCTGTGATTCGTTGGGTTTTAGACTTTCTTCTAAAACTTTTTCGATAGAGCTTTCATTATTATCCTTGTTTTCAGAGTTATTCACAATTTCTTGTTGAGACATGTCAACTTTATCTAATGGTACTAGACTATCCTCAGGTTCCATTATTACTTATACTTATATAATTCTTATTTTTATTTCTTGTGTGTATCTAGAAATGTAATGTGATAAATTTTAATAAAAAAGTAACATTTAACTTTTAGTTTATATATATATATATTTTGGTTATATTTATAATAAAAGTTTAACCCTTTGCACTTGAGGGCTCCGGAGCGGAGGCATTTAAAATTTGTCTTCAAACTCGAGGGCTCTGCTATGGAGACAATGCAAATAACTTTCAGTTCATAACATAAGGACAAAGACAAATCGTAAAAACTATTGTGTATAGGATATTCCGCTCTTGCTATTTGCATTTAAGTTTGAAAAGTTTGAAGACAAATTTTAAATGGCTCCGCTCTGGAGCCCTCGAGTGCAAAGAGTTAAAAATCCAATGAGCTACAAAATCCAGGACCAATATTAAATTGCATTAACTACGAAAAACAAAGATTTTAATATGAAAATATTCAAAATAATTTATTCACACTCTAATCTCTTTTTAAAAACATGAAAATTACATCTATAATTAAGTGCAGTAAGCGAATTGAACATTTTAGGCAATATTTTATTTACAATGGAAATGAAGGATACGTTAAAAAATACAAGAAAACTACGTTAAATTGAGCAGCATATATGGCAGCGATATGTATACGCGAATTGACATTAACAGATTCGTGTATGAAGAATATCAAGGTTATGACAAGCCTCATAAAAATCGCCATGTTCCCTCCACCTACCTGCTGTTCCGGTCGTCGAGACGTTGAGCTAAACTTTAATGAGACTAAGCACCAAAGATAGACTGTGCGTTGAGTAACCCGGCATCCATAATTACAGCATGTAAATGTAATGAAAACACAAACGTATGCCTATCCCTCTTCAGAGGTAGCGGCAGATGCGACGTTGTTGATTATCCCACCAAAAAGCGCTCACAGGGATGGCCGCGAGAATGCGTGAAAAAGAAAAGGAGCGTGACTACCGAAATTTGGATACACAGAAACACAGTTCTTATCACAAGTAACAGTTCATTTTCAGATATTCATTCGGAAATAACGTGAGTGGACGTGTAAACAGCCTCGAAATGCCGACGTTTGTGGGCGGTAAACCGCTTTAACAAGGAGTATCCATTAGTAGCAAATTTGATCGCCTGCATTGCTTATGCAGGATTCACACTGCGTACGACGTACATAACAATTCTATGTCCAATGGAAGATTTCACATTTTAGGGTTTCTAGCTAGCAACAGCATTTGCCTCCAAAAAACATTCTCCTATTTGCTATCGTTGTACAATGATAGATAAAAAGGTCGTTACATTTTTCTTATGAGTTTCGCAACACATTTCGTCATATCCAATAAGAAAACGTATCTCACGAGACAACTAAGAAACAAATTCTCCTATTGGACACGGCATGCGTTCTGAAACTTATCTAAAATGGTATAACAACCTTTCTGTCCACCATTGTACAGTCGTGGACAATAAGGATGTCCGGTCGTTTCAGTGTGAGTTTTGGAACATAGGCACGTATTTTGAATTCTCTTTTATCGATAAAAGTGCCTTAAATGTGGCTTCTCAGCCAATCAGATAGTTCCTAAGCCACTTTTATGCCCGTTAAGCCGGTATCGGACTACGGATTGGAAATCGAATTGAATTTGGTCAATCGGTGCAAAGTTAATTAAACTCAAAATGAAACTTTGTGAACTTTGCATTGAGATTGGTCAGTTTTCAATTCAATCTCCAATCCGTAGTTTGACACGGGCCTGACATTAAATTTAAGTTTAGTGAATCTCGCTCTGATTGGCCAAATTTTAATTCAATCACAATCCTCAGGGACATACGAGTTCCGTAGTACTTCGCAATAATCCCTAGTATTTACAAATAATCACGAATTTCAGGGCCGTGTCGAGTGCCTGAGTAACATTAGGAGTTCGCTCAATCTCGATGTTTGCTTGTGGAGTGCTCGTGCATCGAAAAGAAGGCAACGGAAGAACAACGGACGAGTTCAATGACAGCATGTTTGATCAGTGGTGCTGTATTTTGTACTGTTAAATTGCTCTGTGTAAAAATAATTGGTATTTCACTCCGAAGAGGATATTCGAGGTCCGTGTCAGACGATACGATCGTATCGCTTCTCGGTGTTACAGCGAGATTACCGCGAAAATTCGTGACTAATCAGTTCTGCGAGTTTGGGAAGGCTTTCTTGAAAAAAATAACAAAGCGATACAGTGATTCAACCGAGTTGAGGCATCTGTCACGTTAAAAGGTATCGGACGATCCGCTTCGAGTGTTAATGCTCGCACGATCGACATCGTGCAATCAACGAATAACCGAATAAGAGAAAATACTCCGAAATCGTACGTCGCTCCGGCCGGTGGTAAGCGAGGATCACATTTCGCATCGCCGACGAGCAGACAACCGTAAGGACATCCGTTGACTCGGGCGAATTTCAGAAATAAACACGCAAATATGCGGTAGAGGTGATAGAAGTAAACACAACAAGGCACAATAAGAGGAGGTAACAAGGACAACACGTGCGATTCTGATACATTATCTAAGAAGGAAGGGGAAGAAGAAGAAGCTTAGTAGTAGTAGTAATAGTATCGGGCAACACTCGGACAGTTAAGCCACGGCACTGGGTGACGGTACGTGACGTTACGTTGCAGCGAGGAAGCGACCGTGCGAGCCAGGACTGTAAAGCACGCGTTGCGAGCGGGACGAGGCGTTTACTGCGCGAGAGGCGAGTCGGAAAAACGGGCGAGTGTGCGCGCTCGCGCGCGCAACGTGCATGCGTGCGACGATACACACGTCTCTCTCGCTCGCTCGCGCGCGAGGTGTTTACTGCGCGTTGTCAAGCGTGCCTTGTCATCCTATACGGGGGTGTTGGTGAAGGAACACCGCACTTTCCGGATTGTGTCCGGATAGTGCCCGCGTTCGCTCGTGATTTCGGCATCATCGGTGCTCGCTAACACAACGCGCGTACCTCGTATTCCATCATCGCGGCGAACGCACGCGCGCGCGCGACCCTCTCGGCGAGGACGACGCGTCGTCGTTGATCATCGTTACGGACGGAGAGAAGAACGAAGAAAATGGCCGACAGTTGGATTAACAGTGTTGCTTGCCGGTAAGGGAATGTAACGGACCGACGGGTGTCCTTCCAGATCTCATTGGGGATTTCGCTCTTCCCGCCCGACCCCGCGATTCGGTCGTTTTCAACGTAATCGCCGAGAGAGATTAACCGCGTTGATCGCTCGCGTGCAGTAGAACAACTACCGCCTAGTGGGATCGGACGAGTACGGCGGTATATAAATATTATTGATGATTCTCGTGAGAGAGGATATTTATCGACGTCGTTGTGAAACTGTCGGCGACTTTGAATTTCGCGTTGAATCGTCCGAGTCGTCTCCCGTCTCGCAAACACGCGCATTAATAAACTCCCTGTTCTCTGTGTCGGTGCATTCCAATAACCGTGTCGTGTTATTATCGTCTCAGATATTTCAAAAGCGGCGTTTGTCGGGAGGGCAACAACTGTCGATTTCGGCACGTACAAGGGACCAGAGATGACGCGGATGTCAATAACGCAGACACAACACCGTCCGGACCAATCTTCAATGTCACATGTCGCTTCTTCAAACAAGGAATATGTAGGTTCGGCAGTCAGTGCCATTTTCGACACAGTGGAAACACCTCCGATAGTAATTCCAAACAAAGCAATGCAATAGAAAATTCTGCGTCGGGCCAACATACCGCAAGCTCCTCGAAAAAAGGGTGAGCTCAAGTGTATTCTTTTGCGATGTGTACCGATTCTTTTCTTACTGTTTTATTTTGGCAATATTCTTACTTACTTTGACCTATAAATATATTTAAATTGTGTAACATTTGACTGGGTTACATTTGGGTGTGATCTTTGTTTTATTCATCACAGGAGTAATGACAAATGTGCCGCTGAAGAATGGGTGAAAGCACCTGAGTTTGTACCTACAGTTGTGCCTCCTGTTGCTGGATCGTCTTCTTCTACGGATGAAATGTCTACATCGGGAACATCTATGAGCGCATTGAAGCCAACATCATATGCTCAAGCTGTTAATCCATCATCTGGTCAAGCCTCGAGTCCTGCTTTAGAACCTTTGTGCCCATATGCCGAAGCAACTGGATTTTGCAAAAAATTAAACTGCACATATCTTCATGGCGATATTTGTGAACTGTGTAATTGTGCGGCTCTCCATCCTCACAATGAAGAACAGCAGAAGAAGCATACAAACGTAAATTTTGATCAACTTATTCAATTACGTTAAATTTGGTGGAGCCAGAGTTGTCGTTCGAGCGAATATACTGGATCTCAGTCAGTTTTGATCTCTTTAATCTTCTCAATCTTAGTCACTAAAATATAGAGATAATGTCATTATCTCTATGATGATTTTTCAAACTTACGAAAGAATTTCTATTTGGCGTCTTGTTATTTGCTCAGGCGTGCGTGAAACAACATGAAGCAGATATGGAATTATCCTTTGCTATACAACGCAGCAAAGAGAAGTCTTGTGGCGTGTGTTTCGAAACAATAATGGAAAAGTCGTCACGAGAACAAAGGTTCGGTATCCTGCCGAATTGTAATCACTGCTTCTGCTTAACCTGTATCAGAAAGTGGCGGCAGGCAAAACAATTTGACAACAAGATCATAAGAGCATGTCCAGAGTGTCGTGTTCCATCAGATTTTGTCTGTCCCAGCATGTTCTGGGTGGACACGAAGGAGGAGAAGGAAAAGTTAATAAGAGATTATAAAGGTGTTTTAAGGTAAACAAGAGTTCTCGTTAGAAATAATAAGTCGACCTGGTGTGTTACCTGAGTGTTTACATTTTCATAAATTTTTGTTAAGTACTAAGGATTGCAAGTACTTCAACAAAGGTCGTGGTAAATGTCCGTTCGGTAATAAGTGCTTCTATCTCCATGCACTTCCCGACGGCACTAAGAAGGACGTTGGTCCACCAAGAAGACGTCATGCCGATTATGATATCGATTTCTTACACGTAAGTGATTCATTTATATATATGTGTATACAATTCATATTATTTATATGGATGTACACATATTTTATAGGCGAATAAATGCGCGTCTCTCGTGTGAAATTTTGCTGAAGCAAACGACATACCTTCCGAATCAAATAGTTCGGTAGTTCCACCGTGAAATATTCTGGCATATATGAATGCATGTATGTTCTTATACATATATGATATATGGCAGGAGAAAATAATTCTGTAAAATTTACAGCAATTAATCTTGTGGGATTTCCTCGAAGAAAGGGACGATCGCTGGATGTACCTCGATTTAGAAGAAATCCCATTCTTTTCTGATTCGGACGATTCCGATTGGTCTGATTATGAGCTGTCATTCGACTAGAGCAGTAGAACTAGTCGGGTCGTATTGCCCTTATCAGATCCCTGATATCGTATTGGTGTTCGACCTTTAGCAGCCACTCCCTTTACTCTTTACTTTACCTTCATCTTATCCTTTACGTGCGAATTTGGCGGCAAGAATTACTACATCGCAAATAATTTTGAATGATTGTAATTCGAAGACATTTTAGCTACGTCAGTACTTTATCTTAACTGGGATGCGTTATGGATGAAGTCAAGCACATTGTAAAAAGAAAAGTGATATCAATATTATCTTCGGTACATGTGGATTTTTTATAAATACTTTACCAAGCAACAGTCGCATAATGTAATTATATAACTCTCGCAGTCGTCGCATAATTACGTCGTACCATGGCGTCGTATAATTGCGTTACATAATTAAACCGCATAATTACAATTTTCTTGGAAGAATTTGAAATTTTTATGAGTACTTTCTGTAGAATATTATATATATATATTTATATATATATATATATATATATATGTATGTTTATATAAATATATACTTATTTATATTCATATATATATATACATATATTTTGTTACGACGACAATTTAATTCTTTTTAATGGGTACTGTTTTGTTAGGTATTAGATATTGAAGTGCGCGAAGGATTCATAAGAGTTTCGAATGTATTCTGAAAAGTTCCGATGGCATTATGGCACTTTTGTATTTCGAAGTATTTGTAAAAAATTCGCATGTGCCGTAAATAGTACTGATATTACTTAGAATTCACTCAATCTTATCCACACTTATTATTTTATTATAATTAAGGACAGCGATATTTATCATCGTCGTGTTTTCGTGTCATTAGCTTGATTAAGATTGTCCAGGGTACGCATTCCAGTTAAAATAGATTTCATTGAGCTATGTAGAAAAAGAAGGAGAAAGAACAAAATGGAAACTTATAAATTGATAATTCATATGCAAAGAGTGTACAATAAATAGTTACGCAGTTTTATTAATAATCGCGCGGCGCATAGTTGAAAACAAAAAGATGACAGGAGACACGGATATCAATACGGACAGTAGTGATAGTTTTGTTGGTAATGCATCGAAAGTATGGAATCATCTTCGTGCGTCTTGACCAATGCTCTGCTAACTGATAATTGTTATAGGAACTATTATTTTCGTGATTTAAATTTTGTCAGCGAATAATCCATATATACACCGATATTTTTTCGACGTACTTTTCTTTATATAGGGTAATATATTGGTCCTTTTTTTGTAGTTAATATTAATAATTGTAACATTTTTTCCATAATGCATGATCCGGAACCATCTTTACACATTAAACGAGTCATAGTAGAATCGTGTCATTAACCGATACTTGTTACAATTAACGGATAAAATTGTTTGCTTCTCTTGGTGAGACACAATTTTCAAGTATATGGTCAAGTATATTGAGATAGTTATGTTAAAAAAGTAGTTTTATTATAATCTTATTACATTCTTCGGTCAACGCTTGAGCATTTTTTTTTTATTTTTTTTTTTTTTCAGTTAACGTGAGATTTAGATCTAGATTTTACTTAGGTTTAGATTCTCCGTAATTTCAATGAATCATTTTTACGATAATCTATCATTGTTATCGAAATATAATCGGATTCTCGCGGTACAAGCGGAAAAATTGTTGAGATTTGTGTGTCGAGATATGGCGTCCAAACAATATCATATACAATGCAAATTACCGTTTGAATCGATTATTTCAATTTGTAAGAAATATATCTATCATATTATGAGCATGTTTTGTGACTGTGGTGTAACTTTATGTTTGAAAGAAAAAAAATTTATCTGAATTTTTTATTGAGTTTGTAAATATAATAAAATTATGACGTAGCCATTGGTGCCAGCCAAATGCGCGCTATATCTAACAACGTCTGTTAAGTTTGTTCGTTTATCTTTTTAAAAACCTTCAAAGTATTATCGCCGCAGTTACAAAACATGCCATTTAGCCTATTTTATGCTATTCGTCGATATAGACACTACTTACATGTAAAATATATATAGAAAAACCGGACAACGATTTATTACTTGTGTGATCAGTGTGCATTGTTAGTTCAATTATCACTAGTTCATATCGAAGGTACGATCCACAATTGTCGTCCTACCTCTTGCTATGGCTCCGCGAATCTTTAATACATTTCTTTAAATTATTACAGTTATATAGCGTTATTCATAAATAAATATTCCTAAGACCTCTGAGAGCAAATGTGCAAAGTGAATGTAACATATATGTAAGGATATTTTGCGTGAGTGTGACAATGTTCGTATTTGTGTGCTTGTGCGTAAGTGCGAATGAAGTAAAAAGAAAAAAAAAGAAACATTTGCGAGCAAGAAACAGACTACCAATAGCATATGTAGAGTAATAATAATAAATGTAACAAAAGGTCGCTTTCCGTCAAGAGTACGCACCTGTAGATTCAGCGTTTAAGGAAGCAAATTAGAGAAGTACGCACGGCGGAGTTGGACCCACGACATAGAGAGCCATCTGGGAATCATCAACAATCGTTTATACATTTTATCGATTTACTTAATAATAGCGACACCGTTTCGATAGCCGTTCCTCTCGATATAGAAATACGACGTAATTACGCTTTCGAGGGCACAGGAATTCTCTTCTGTAAAACTATTAGAGCCGACGGGAGATGAGATATACGAGCGATAATAGAAATAAGCACCAAAGAGAATACGAGTATTTACCTTCTAGCATCGGATACTTCGCGAGAAATCTTTCTTTAAACTTGTCGCTGAATGATCCTTCCTGAGCATATCTATGACAACTAATAATCGCGTTGTTGTGAAACCACAGAGTTCCTGCTCACACTTGCAATCCTTTTCGTATTCACGGTAGAGGGAGGGGGGGGGAGGGAGACAGANGGTTTTTACAGCGGAGAGTCGTCGGTACTGCCTTCAAAAGCTGTGTGATTATAGATTAATATATCGTTCATCGCGCGCTATATAAGTCAGTGTCTTAATCCGTGTCAAGAAGCGTTTTATCGGATCGATCTTTCACTATGCTGAATATCGTTTACATTTACCAATGGAATTTCTATGCTGTTAATTTTATCGATAATTGTTAGTATAAAACGCTTATTGTTACCCGGTAATGTTTATATGAAACCTTCTACGGTAGGCGCTAATATACGTTTCGAGCGGCTATTTTTGGAGCTACTTTCCTCAACAATCATAAAACTTCCTGACGAGGGAGATGAAAATGTATGAACGCTTGAGAGAATTTAGGAACATCAATTTATTTTATTCGGATTAATGACGGGATATAACGAGTATTAAAAATGATATTCTGAACATTTCACTGTCATTCTCAGGATGGTTTTTATTAAGTTAGTTTAAATGTTATCGAAAATTCACGAAACAGCGTTGTGTCTTGGCGTGCGGAATTCAATCGCCAAGATAAACATAGCAAACATGTACATTAATACGAATTGATTGTACCAAGCATCATACCGTATTGAATATTGTATCATATAGCGACGTATATTCTTTCTTTAACGACCTAAATACGCTTTATAAATTGTTATGTAGTCTATCATTTACATAACATGTTAAACGCTTCGAACATTTTTCCTTTTCTCTTTTTTTTCTTTTTGGTTCATATAATACACACACACATGATTCTTTAGGATAATATTATACTAATTATATCAATTTATTTTTAAGCGCGCATTATTTATTTTTATCCTGTATTAAACATTTTATCATGCGGAAGGTAGAAAGTAAGAAGTGTGTTCAATTTTAAGGGAGACAATTCGTTGATATCGCTCTAAAATTTCCGCGCGTACGAGTATAATTGAACCTTATATTTTTGTAACTTTTCTTTTTCACCACGTTATGCGCGCTTACATTACGATGTAAAGGCTCCGTACTGCAGATTGATATAGTAACATGTAAATGAAAATCTGATTTGATATAGAGAGCGCTCCACCGTGGAAAAATAAAACTAAAAGCATTGTTGTGCCAGCTTGTTTCTTACGTCTTTAATAGACTCAGATTATTGTGAATGAATTTTTAACCAATAAAAATACGTAGATCTCAAGCTAACTGTATCTTCACTACATGCTGTAAAGCGAATGTATATATGTATATACGTACACATTGCTTGCGTTATCACGAAGTTTATCCTTGTTGATTTCTCATTTATCTTTGTTTCCTGGCACACGATGACGAAGCTGTCGCCATGCTATGTTTTTGTTTTTATCGCGTTTCGTTACTAGCGTAAGAATCATTACGGATTTTAATAATAGTAAGTATCGTAATAATCGATATTTTTTTCTCTTGTGTTACCGACCGTGTTATCGACGGATATCAAATCAGATACGTTCATTATTGTTGCAAAGTGCACGCGCAGAGGGCGACTGCGGTCCTTCACTCCCGATTCATTCGATTGAAAGCTTGCAAACAAGCGGTGGTTTATCTCCGACATAATTTGTTGAAGTAACGAATGTGTTTGTTGAGCGTTATAAAACAGATTAAATCGGCGTCGATCCAGCCGGAATCGCAGTCGCTCGCGGAATGAATGCGGAAGTCGTAAATTCCGCCGCTTCGATACACATCTCGCCAGCGATTCGAATCGCTGTTTGAAGAGGCGCCGGCAAAATGGCGTAAGTAAGAGTAACGTACGTTTGGGAAGCTGGAGCGTCTCACAGCGGGGAAGTAAAATGACGTTCCGATTCTAGGAATTCGAATGAATATTGCTTTAACTGTTACTGGCGGGCTGTGAGTATAATGTAACGCGTGCAAAGTCGCTATAACTTGGGTAGTGACTCTTGCGAGACTAAAAAAGAATGAAAGGTTAGAATGCGACCTTCTTCTGTCAACGCCAACACTTTGAATTATATGTCCTTTTTTTTTACGCGAACGGTCGCGCGCTCATAAAGTATTCGGCACGTAAACCACTTTTTTATCAGGATTGCTCGCATCGTTTGATAGATAAACACGTCGTAACGATATTCTTTTCTATCATGCCGTAATGACTTCTCATTGACGCTGTATAGTCGGGTTAATCTGTTGTCGTAATGTTGATAACGCCGGGAGATTAATTATCGGCAAATTAACTGCCTGTAACGTTGAGTGACTGTAAGATCGTCATTTACACGCTTTGTAGAATAAGTAAAAAGATGACCACGTGCCTAATAAGCAAGAAATCATTGACACGAAGTTACTCCCTATAAGTGCGTATTATGTTATTTAATATCAAGTAATATTCCAGGTAAAGTCTTAGAATGTTAGACGTAATATTCTAATAATATTCTGATATTATTTAATATTAAGTAATATTTCTGGAATATTCTAAGAATATTATTTTAATATTTTATAATATTCTAGGAATATTATGTGTTTATAGGGTTACAGTAATATTTTATAATATGTGACATCTTCAAATATATAGTTCTTAATATTGTATACAACGTACATTGTTAACAATATACTTGACCTAAACATAAAAAATAATATATTTCTACATTATGATTTCAATATTTACAAATATTATGTTATCAAATAATTATTTAAAAATATTTACAAAATATTATGTCAAAACGTGTGTGAAATCTGCATGAAATCAATGTTTCAAAAGATTGATTGATTTAACGTGTCTTGCTTACTGGCTATCATTTTTCCGCAGAATCGTCGCTTTTGTCACTGAACGTTGTGCACAAGGTCCGCACGAAGTATGTATTTCGGCTGAATAGGGTCGTGATCCTGACATGGCTTACTCGTTACTTTTTACGACTTCTGAAGTCTCCGCTATTCACACGGTTTCTCTTGCATTACAGTCGTGCCTTTTCTGGGTACCCGAAACTGCCTCTGTCATGTCTGAATTAACACACGTATCTACACAGCGGTTTGTCGAGTATCTTCGCGCGGAAAGGACATCGGAAAAATTATCAGAGCTTGTTTTATATGCGGGCCGGGTGTCTCGCGATAATGCTCGAATTCCCACGTTGAAAATTGCGGATGAATCCGGAGCAAAAGTGGAGACACACGAGAGACAGTGAGGTACGTTTGAAATTGGATTCGTCCAATTGACAGAGCACAGTGTCGTAGCGCAATAGAACAACGATATTAACGTTACTCGTTGTAGAACACGCGGGGCGCGACTTTGTTGTGTACGTCGGCGAGAATATGGGCTCGACCGGATTCGCGACGGCTAACTGGAACAGGAAGTTAATCTCGACGAGCACGGCGAATTAGCATATAAATTCGCCGAAATGGTCTCTACGTATCCAGGTAACGATACGTGCACACCGCGGGTATCGCGAGATCGCTTTGAGTCGCAAAGACGCGACCGCGGCCCCCCTTTGTGGGCTTGATTCTGTTGCACCCTTTGTGCATACCCCGGCGCGTCCGTACGTTCGGACGATGCATCAACGACACATGTAGGTATTATTTTGTGAAGGAACGGCGTTACCGTCTAACCACGCGTGTCTACGCTCGCTCGCTCGCGGCTCGGGGGATTAAGCAGATTGCGCGACTGCGAATTTAACGTTGTGAGGATTACGCGTCGTTACGCTGTAATCGGCATGTTTGCGGTTGCACAAACCACTTGTGACGTAAAAAATTGTCTCGACAGTGGATACTTACTTATTCGATTCATCGTCCGAGCGATGGTTGCGCACTACGAAACGAATTCCGAGAATAATTCTGCTCGAGTTCTATCCTGACGTTGTAAAGTGATTTCTTTCTATGGCATTATTATGGCACTTTTAGATACCTCCCTCCGACATACGTAGTGAAACATTCTGTGTTAAATTTGACACATTTCACGTGTCCTAAACGGCCCACATATAAATTTTCGTGTTAATTTAACATTTTTGCTTAACGCAATTTAACACAAGATGAATATGTCGGAAAGTAACACAAATTTGGTGTCAAAAATTAACGCAAAATTAATATCCATCGACTGATGTATAAAATGCGTTATTTTAGCACTTACGAGTGTTACTTTAATCTAAATTTAAGTAAATTTAAGTAAAACTTTAATTATCAAATATTTGGTCGACAAATATTCACCAAATTTTAGTATTTATTGCCAAATCCTTTTTTCAGCGTAGTAACATTTATTAGAAAAATGATTTTCTCCCGACTATTTTTGTGGTTAAAATGAAAAAGTGTGTGGCGCCAAAAATAACTGCAATTTTCCAGCAATGTACATATTGAATATTGACTCAGCATAAAATATTGAGATAACGCAAACACAATACGTTAAATTAACACCCGGGTATATTAAAGATATAACAAAAAGACTTTAACAGGGACCGATTTTAACACAAAAGCACAAAATGTTTTTTACCGTGTATATTTACATAGTCTTGGTTAAACCAAAGTAAATTTCGTAATGCGAAACCGCAAATGCCGATAACCGCAGTTGGCTCAATGTTGCACAATTACGTCCCAATTGGCACTACCGATCCGATCGTTTCGAGATTTACCGACGAATCGACAGCAGATGATGGGATTGAACACAATGAGAATTGAGTGCACGGTGTAAATCTCCTTGCCGTGTTTATCCGTCGCGTTATTTATCGCATCTAAATCCGGACGTGCGCGCGCGCGCAGATGTCGCAGAAACGATTTCGACAATCAACATCGTTTAGCACTCAGTCTCTTGTCACAGCTCGTGTTGCGGTTCTTGACGTTTCTGTATGACGCCGGATGTCCTGCGTATGCATCGATAAGTGCGCGCATGAATGTTATAAGAACAATTACCGCATCAACACGTGTTATACACGCCGGAGTTTAGTATTTAGAATCTCGTTACGACGCGTGTTATGGCTTTTGATATTCCTGTATGCCGGACATCCGGCAAGTTCTTGCGCGCGCGCGCGATCGCATTATTTATCCACGGCTCCCAGGAGCGACGTACGACGGACCTAATTACGAGCGAAGGTAGTTTTGGAAGCTGCTAGACGGCCAGAAGTCTAATTAAATGGTCGCTCGGTAATTCGCGTTCGCTTTGAGGGGCCGTGGAAGATTAAACGGCAGTGGAAAAATCGCGCGACGACACGCGGCGGCGCGAGTTTGCGCGGATTTGCGCTCGCGAACAATAAGGAACGCGAGATTCCTCCCTCCCCTCCGCCCTCGCTATAAGCTGGACTTAAAGCGCGGTAAAATGTGCGGTGGTTAAATTTCCCGTGAAAATACGGGGTGTGTTGCGGGTACACACACTAAAGAGTGGGAGGGAGGGAGAGGGCTGCGTCAGTATACTGCGTCGAACCGACGCTTCTCTCGCGTGTGTTATAAAGTCGCGGTGATTATTCTCTTAAAAGTATATTTATAGTAAGCCGGCTCTCTCTCTCTCTCTCTCTCTCTCTCTCTCTCTCTCTCTCTCTCTCTTTCTCTCTCTTCCCTAACTTTGTGGCATTATATTTTTATGCGCGCTGCCGCCGTTGCTATTGCGTTTCTTTCTTTCCTTTAATCTCCGCTATGTAAAGTTATTAAAATTATAATACTGTTGCGTTCCCATGCCGGGCTCTTTTCTCACACGATTACAATGCTCTGCAAAATCGGCTTAGAGATTGATTCGAATTTAATTTACATTTGATTGAATTTAAAGGGCTTTACGTACAAAGGGCTTTACGTATATATAACCCGAACAGCTCGAAGAAACGCCCAATGTTTGGATTTTTCTGCTGATCACATTATTGGTTTTATGAATATGTCCCTTTAAGAGGGGTAATTTTTCATACTTTTATTTATATATTGTATCAAATTAACACAAAAAGTTGTGTGGATAGTTTGGGACACGTGAAATGGGTGTTAAATTTAACACAAAATGTTTTACTGTACGCGCAGATCGCGTGATCTGCGAAAGATTTCGGGAACGTTCGTTTCCCCTTGAAGAGAATCGTGGACTCGGATTTCTTTAAAAATGCGGCGAGTAAATTCAGATAGTACCGGTTTAATGGGAAGAATCTCAGACTACGGACGTAAAGAAAGCCGAAGAGGAGGACGAGGGCGAGGGATTAGGTCGGGTAGCCAAGAGCGGAAAGAGAAAAGGAAAACAAGGCGGGGGAATATAGAATCGGTTTCTCTGTCGAGTCTATCCAGCCTCGCGGAGAATCTCTAAATTGCCTCTGTTTGTTTCGCAAGCAAAGAAGCGCGGCCGTGCATCAAAATGGTCGATCGCGCCAGCCGGTAGCCGATGTCTAATACATCGAAGAATCCTCTTCTCGGGCTGATCGTGACCCATCGACTCGATGTTGATTCACCGCGTCCTGAGCTGAAAGCTCTTTTGGCTGGTCGACGGGAAAACGAGGGAAAAAAGGAGAGAAAAGATTAGCGGTGAAGTCGAACTGGATATAGCGCCGCAATTACGCGAATTCTCTTATTCGACGCGAGATTAAATTTGCGTGGCATAGATAACTTATATTTGAAACCAACATATCTCGACACCATTACAATTATTGAGCAATGGTTCACGTCTGATACATTATTATTATCGTACATTTTCTTAGATGTACAAAACTTTGAAGAATTCTTATAAAAAGTATGAGAGAGAGACAAATCGTGGACTTTCATTTTAACATTTTAACGGTAGTATATAACACATTTTTTATGCGACTGACAATTTTCACTAGTCGTCGATTATTTTTAAAACGATTACTATATTTTACGATAACGTGTGTAACGATAATTTATCATATTTCCTGACCTTTAGATTGCGATCTTCGGTATACATAAAGTATTTGTTAAACGTCGGGCTCCTTGCGTGTTAGGTAGTATCGGAATGAAGTTACCGCGGAATCGCGTTCATATCATATTCTAGAACTTAAATATTTAGAAAAAAGGTTCTAAATTCTCACGTTAATTTTACTTTTGCATGAATATTGACAAATTCGTAACGTGAACGCTATGCAGTAAATCAACTATCTTACTTGAATATTAAAGTAAATAAAATA